CCATCGGTGGTTGGGGTGCCGGTTCCTTGGTTGATCTCAAGGTTGTCTGGATGTAGGGGGACGTGGCGTTCGTGGGCGGACCGTGCAACTCAGGTGCGGGCTGGCAGACATGTCGCCGTGCCATGTAGTACGACAACACTATAGTGTCTAGCGACACCTCGGTTGATGAAGGCATGAGAGCATAGGGATGATTACCTTGTCTGGAACCTACCAGTCACCAACCATGAACCCAACCCACGATTTATCGTCCTCAGATGCCACCGACGCAGACCACTATCTACATCCGCCAAAGGAGAGATTTATTTATTGTTTGGTTGAAAAGCGATCGCCTGTCCTAGATTTTAGCTTTTTAAAAAAAGCTCGCTAGCTTCATTAAAAAAAAGATTTGAATGCCACTGCAAAGATCACTCCCGTCAGACTATTACATAGCAAAGTAATGAATAAACAGAGTCTTAGCCTTTGTTAATACTCTCTCTATAAACTAATATGGGATCTTTCGGATCCCAAAGATCTTATATTAGTTTACAGAGGAAGTACATTACAATGGCAAAGAATAGTTAAATGTGCATAATGTAAACTTTGAAGTAATCGAGTTAAAAGAAAAAGTACCCACAAAACAAAACGGAAAAAAAAGCCATGGAAGTTCCAATTCGTGACCCCGAAGGACAGCCGGACTTGTCACATACTCCCTCCGTCTCAAAATAAGTGTCTTGAGCTTAGTATAAATTTGTATTAAAGCTAATACAAAGTTGAGACACTTATTTTGGGACGGAGAGAGTACAAAATTCAGCTGTCCCAGTCTCTTCTACGCAAGATAGGCAGTAGGCAGGAATAGAACTGAATCTACCCAAGCACAAGTCATCCAGACTAAACAACAGCACTCATGCGTACAAGGCTCTGATGCAACTGTGATTCTTTACAGAGTGTGCGGGCAAAACTCCAACCGGCGTCGCCATCTCATAAATAACTTACCCGTATCCTGCTATCTCTGGCTGCTCAAAGTTTACCTCTCTCAAGTAGCTAAAAGCTCTTTACGAGGGAAAAAGATCCCCAACTAGTTTGTGCATACAGTCAAAATGTACAACTATTCACAGGGAAAACATACAAAACTTTTCAAGTCAAACTGTGGGGTTTGTGCGCTAGCCATATTCGAACTGTACGGTCATCACTTGCGGAAGCCAACATCTGGGGCCTCGCGGGGTTCCAGCTTACACAATTTACAGTCATTGAGTGCCCATATAGGACCTTTATCGGCATCTCCATGCCTCTTTGCCAAATGTACACCTGCCCATTATCTCTACGCATCAGCAAAACGGAAACGCTCAACAAGAGCACGAGAAAAACAGATGTGAGCTCTTCCCATTGTTTCACATTCACTACTAGCTTTGCTTTTTGTATCCTGTATTTCTATAGATAAAGGTCATACAGCAGGTTGATTTAAAGATTAGTGTGATTGATCACAAAAGTTTGTGTTGGTTTTTCTGCAGTGGTCCTCTAAAATTGCACAACATGCCAACTAATGTGTCTGCTTCCACTAGTTAATAGTGCTAATTTAGCAAAACTGCAAACCAAACCAGCACAAACTTCCGATTATTTCGCATTCAGTATTGGGTTTGATGTTTGTATCCTGTATTTCTATAGATAAAGGTCATACAGCAGGTTCATTTAAACATTAGTGTGATTGATCACAAAAGTTTGTGCTGGTTTGTTTACAGTGTTCCTCTAAAATTGTACTACATGCCAACTAATGTGTCTGCTTCCACTAGTTAATGCTGAATAGTGCTAATTTAGCAAAACTGCAAACGAAGGCATGCCTTCTGTAACACAAAATTAATGAGTCTGGAATGATCAGCAAGAATACTGGTATTTCAGGTATGGAAGAATTCTACTTTTGGATATGCGAGTCTGCGATGTTCAGCATCACTCCTCACAGAAAAGGTATAGTGCAAGAGCATAAAACCTCCAAACGCATGGTACTGCTGTTTCTAAACAGATGTCATTCCTTGTTTAAAAATACCACCTAATGGAATCGAAGCAAGAAGTTGAAATGGAAGCAGGCTAAGATCTCTTCAAAGGCAAGGTTAAATTCTTCAAGAGGGTGTACCTGTGAATCCTCACTGCCACTAGCAATGAACAGATAGTCTGATCCTCCAAAGCATGATCTAATCACAAACTTTCCTTGCTTGTGCCCCTTGTATTTATCGGGCACTCTAGAACTTCCATTGGTTTTCCACAAATGAATTTCCTGGCTATTAAGGTTGACAATCATTGACTGTCCATCACCTGAAAGAGAAAGAGATGATATTGTCTGCCGTTCAGGAATTTTCCATTCCCGCCCCTTCCGAAGTTCTCGGATCCAGATTTCGTTAGGACATACACAGATTAGATGTTGGCCATCAGGTGTCACAGCAAGATCACTAACTTTAGGTATTCTCTCTCCAGCCCACATTTCCAGTTCTTGGCCTTCTAGGTCACAAGTGAAAATCATATTTGGAGAACTTTCTGGTTCACAGCTGGCACATACTATTTTCTCCGAATTTGGAAACCATGCACACGACGCGATGATGTGTTTTACTGAAGCACCAAATTTAAGATTGCATTCACCAGTATCAACATTCCACAGTTTTAAAGATTCCCCATTACCACAAGTGAGAAGCATTCTATCATTTGGGCTCCACGCAACAAAGGAAATAGGACTTTTGTGACCCTCGAGGCAGTACTTCTTGGTTAATGTATCATCTTCTTCCACCTACATCATCTCTGGGGGTTAGACATGACAAGAATTTGAAGTTGTAATACAAGCGGGGAAATGAGTTAACATGGCACATAAATTGTATAAAGACTAAACGTGAATGCCAATAAAAAACAGAAAATATTCTTCTGGATGAAAACATGTGATTTTGCAAGAGGGTGGTTACAGTATTCATATAAATCACGCCTACTACCTTTAAATGAGCTGTAAAAATTAAAAATTAAAATAGAATCAAAAGGATGCATAGTCATAACTCGTAACCTCACAACTTATGGTGTTTTCACACATGTATATTTCAGTTAACATACTTACACCCTCATCTCTCCACTAGCTTTGAATAGGAAACATCAATGATGATCAACAGGAAAGGGAACATAGGCAACAGTGCTAGGCTTTTGACACATCTTACAGTGTGTACATGAGAGCTATGAAATGTCATCTACTTCACTCAAGATGTACGTTTTCCACGCAACCCTTGTACAAATAAAGTTCAATTAGCATAAATAGACCAGCTTATATGATGTTTCATGAGCCCCATTAACTTATGCAGTGAACTTCACAACAACACAAATGCACGTGACCGTATTAAAGCTGTGTTTGGCATTGCATTGGATTATGATAATCCAGCTTATCCAAAAAGCTTTTGTCTATTTAGTGTTTATTTAACCATCTTGTCTCTAGTTTCGTGTCTATTTTCCGAAATTATAGAATAAGCACATCGCAGCACAGTTCAGCAACCGCAAACTGAGCCTAAGTCTTCACAGGTCCAGTTAAAATGAAGCATATGAACAAACCAGAAAGAAGACCAAGATCTCACATGAGAAGCATGATCTTCCCAAGCCCAGGTTTGTATCACTACTCAGTTGAATATAGTCCCATCTGCCTATCATAGCATAAAAATTGGAAGAGAAGACGACATTAATCATATTTAGAGAGATATCGTGGTAATATGCATATGACAAAGATGAATGATGGGAATATGATAAAAGAGGACGGCAGAAAAGGCCGTTAATAAAAGCATGAACAGGAAAAACTACTGCCAGTCGTAGGTGGAAATCAGTATGGTCTCCAACAATCATCTTTTCTCATCGATATTCATAGCAATACAAAATAGGAAACTATAAAATACTACTATACTATGGAAGTAATTCAGTGTTATTTCGTACAAGTAATAAAAAATATTGAACAAATTAGTGGCTAAAATTCAAAAAAGGTTTGGCTACATGTACTCGAAAACATCATTTTATTTTGACTTGTTCATGGGTGGCCTAGCCTGGCAACATCAAAATGGCAAAACTTTTCTTATTCAGGGAAAACTCTGAAACTAACTAATAAATTTGGAAAATAATTAAATGCATACTTTATTCAGGGAATTTTCTATCAGGGAAATGGAAAAACTTTTCTTAAGCACAGCACAGTTATCCTTTCTTGAGCCAAGAGTAAAAATAATCAGAAGCTCTCAAGAATCCCACTTTTCTTCAACCAGACCCCAGAGCCATGGCAGCCAACATGGGAGATGAGCTCCCAGGTGGCCAATCAAGGGTGAGGGCTCATGGCCTCTTTGCCTGAAGGATGGCATAACAACCATTCTAGGTGGCTGAGTGCTTACTAGGAGCAAAACCAGAAGCAAGAGAAAGATGCATATTTTTCTACTGTACACTTCCTTGAATAAATTTTATCCATCATGAATGAAGTTTTTAGTAATGATCAGCAACGATCATATGTAACAAGGATATCTGACAGGCTTGACAGAGTGTAGAACTTCTATTCATAGTCAGATTCAGCAGAGGTAAAGAGCGTCCTAAATATAAACGTGTCACGGTGAATACTACACTTCCAAGAGTTCAACAGAGTATCTCACTGCGGATAGTACTTAATGCAGTCTGTCAGCTTATCTACAACTCTGGCAGTTTGGAGCAAGCTCTGTACTAATAAATATATCGTATTACACTGCTCGCTTGAGCAATGTTCCAACAGTTAAAAAGTACTGTCAGAGTGAAACAGTTTATTCACTTTATATGTTATTCAATGATGTTAGGTATAGCTGGGAGCAGAAAAACAAGCCTATTCTATTGTGCCCTGAATCTGATGGTTCTGCTTCAAAATTCTAAAGTGCCAGGAGAACAAAATATAATCTTAGCATTATTTATGCAAGTAACAAGGCACATTGCTTTTCAGGTCAATGTTAGGGTGTATAACTATACCTTCCAAATGATGGCCGTACAATCACTTGAAGATGATGCCAGGTAGTTTCCATCATTTGAAAACCTTACAAACCAAACTTCGTTTTTATGAGCACATAATATCTGCAAACAAGCATAGAAGTTTCAAGTATCCATCTCTGCCATACGGCCCCAGCACCCAAGCATGGACTATGTCTACTCATTTAGGATACATAAATAGTGTATATGAATACTCATCCCCTTTTGACAAACAAAATTAATAGTCTTGTGGATATTGGTTTTGAAATATCATAACTCATAACCATCTCACTGAGGATTGAGCAATGTTTGAAACCCACAGGACACTTGTACTGAACAGTAAGTTTTATGTGAATTAGCATGGTGACTATGGGAAGCATAAAAGCGAATGAAGCAGATTAATTTATACTTCCGGTGCAAAGATTACAAAATGGTACAAGTCCTGCCTCGCTGATGGAAAAGGAGCACTTCGTACTTCTGAAGCACAAGTTCCAGTTGAATGATAATTATATGCTTCCAATAGCCAACACAAGGAGGGATGGTGCTGCAGATATAGCAACATCATGGAACAGAAATTTAAAGACCATATGTAAATAGACATGCTGAAGCGTGCTCTGCGAACTACTCAATAGAAGTTGCTGTATTCAAGTTTCTGCTTCGATAACTCTAGTTTCTGAGTGTGGCATACAATTTCTCATTTCTTATAAATCTGACAGGCTACGAAATTTATCTAGAAGCTGATAGGAAAAACCAAGAACTACAAAAACTCACACCTGCGCACAGTCGGAAGGGATCTGCTCTTCATGGCACTTGTGATCCTCAAATAGAGTGACCTCATCCGGCAGATTATGATATATGCACGAAGCAACCTGCTGAATAACCGCAGTCTCCACCAAATGCTCAAGCCGCCCACTTGGCACACGGAACCATGGCGGCAACGCCTCAACCAAATCCAAGAAAAGCCCAATCCTGCATTCAGCCACAGCCTCTGGTGCAACCGCGCCCTCGGACGTGACCACTGCGCGAGCCAGCCAGTGCACACATCTTCTGTCGATGGCAAGAGGGGCGATCCGACGCGAGAGCACCTCCGTTGCAAGGCGTAGACCAGCGTCCCCAGTGCCCAGCAGCTCCAGGAAGTGCCCTCTCCACACCAAAAACTCCGCGACCGCACGGTTCCTTTCGGTAATGCCGGTAAGAGAGTCAATAGTGGCCGCGCACGCGTCCCACCGGCCAGACATTACGTCGAGCAGGAGGCGGTCGTGCTCCGGGGGGTACAGCGGCACACCGGACTCCGCCTCAAGCGTGGCTGCCGCCTTCCGGTAACCGAGGGAGTAGAGCGACTGCGCGATGAGCCGCACGAGCTCCTCGCGGCGTGGGGTCTGCCCCTTCTGGACCGCGGCATGGGGGAGAGAGCTCTCGGGCTGGTCCATGGACACGCCGAATTCGCCAGCTTGAGGGATTTTACGCCCCCAGCAATAGCAAAACCCGGAAAAGGGACGTCAGCTGCGGAGAGAGTGATTCGGAACAACTGTCGGATCAAAACAGCCGGAAAAAGGAACAAAATTCTGCGCTTCGAGGGACTGGAGAAGAACAGTTGATAACTGGTCAAAATCTGCGCGCCCGATGCCAGGAAAAATGGGAGGAGAACTCGAAATTCCGAGAGCTTCTTGGTGTGACGACGCGATTTTGGAAGAGGGGTTGTGGGATTTTGAAATGATCAGATCAAAATTGTGGGGAGTTTTGGTTTCCTGGTGGATCTGTGGGCCGATAAAAGTAGATATTTTGGGAATGCATACACAGCTCGGACGGTTGTTTTCGAACGGGACGCTGGAGGGGCCATGGCCGTCCATTATACATTGGAGTTGAATCCGAGCCGCACGAGCTCACTAGACGAGGATAAGATCGGCGGTGGGGTCCCGAGTTGGCTTTGTTCTCATGATGCACTTCTTCCCCACGTCCGGGTTCGTAATTTTCCTCGGATTTTATGTTAAAACTAGGTAAATGCCCGTGCGTTGCAACGGGGCATAATATTCTAATGGTTTAACAATAATCACGAGGCATTACTTCTTTTCTTATCTTTCATCCACTGCCTTCATGTCTCCACCTACCTAATTCAAACTTATCATCTTTGTCAATGGCGCATCCGGCTCACAATCTCCCTTTCTCCACCTCATTTCAAACACACACAATATTTTTCTTGGATATTCGTTTCTTATAATCTGCTTCTATCATTGGGCATCCAATCTAATCACATCCCCGTATTACCGAAGGTTCATATGCATTATATTTGCCACCACAACGGAGAAAAATAATGTCATGGAATCTGATCAAACCAGTATTACAAACCAAGTTCCAATAGCTTTAAGTTAACTGCATAATTGATCTTTTTTCATTATCCATTTCTTTAATCATGTCAGAATAATTATTTTGATCTTACATTTTTTGAACAAGGTACAGACGTCGACGCTCATACATACGCACATACATTCATCCCTATGAACACACACACGCACACCCTTCCTCCCACTAAACACGCATCGCCGAACGGCTTGAAATAAATTCAGGAAATGACGAGTACCAGGGTCAAGTCTAGGACTTGAACCTAGTGGACTGAAGATACCATTGTCCTCCTAACCATCCAACCACATGTTGGTTTGCATTTGACCTAACTATGTTTAGTAGACTCTATTATTTTTAAGAGAACGAAAATATTTAAGAAGTGACATGGTGTTAACATAGAAAGTATGACAAAGCCAGAAAAGATTTAAGAAATATTACCAAAATCATGTAATGAATGTAGATTCGCTCCGGGGATCAAAAAATAGGAACATAGAAAGTATGACAAAGTCAAAAAAGTTATACTATACATGGTGTTAACCTAAGCATTATTAGTCGTCAATTACTCCCATTATGGCGGCAGCCACAGAATCCAATGTTTGTGAGGTTGGTACAATATTTTCAAGTTTCTTACCAGTGAATATGTTGGCTTGACCTCTCTTCTCTGTTACATGTTACTTGCATATTTGCGGGATATAATCTACTGGGAAGAAAACAAAAAAGTCATGTCCGTGCACTTTGATGGTTATCCAAAAATACAATGGTAGTCCCAAATTGCATCGGTGTTCTCATCACTCAACAAATCCACGTAGGGATCCATTGTTGTGCCAAACAACAACAAAGCACTGCTCGACTCTCTCCGCTCTCTCTCTCTCTCTCTCATCTGCACAGCAATAAGAAATAGCAAAAACAGCATCCGTGCAGCATACTATATCTCTTCCACTTCCTAAACTATCTTATCTGTGAGTAGCATCAAGGTAATAAGCATAGAAAATCTCATCTCATCTCTCTCTCTCTCTCCCTCTCCCTCTCTCTTTCCCTGCTTGGCCCGCTACAGCACCGTGCTCTCCTGCCTCAGCAGCGGCCGGTCTCCCCTACCATTCCCTATGTGCAGCAACGCGGTGGCCTGCGCCTCGGCATCCTTGTACGAGGAGCAGCAACCCTCAGCCAGGAGCAGGCCGTCATCCTCGTTCAGCGCTGCCGATGGTAGCACAAAGGCGAGGCGACGACCTCGTCTAGGGCACAGCTTGGAGGCGGGGTGGCTCGACTGCGCTCGTCTCTACTCGCTCGCCACGTCACCGCCGATCCACACCCACCACCACTGTCTCCCAATCCCATCACTGCGAAGAGGGGAAGCAGAGCCTCACCAATGAGCACCGAGCAGAGAGAGTTGCTGAGCCGGACGGGGAGCGGGCGGCGATGGCGGCTTCAAGAGAGAAGAGATGGGTATGTGTGGCGGCTGTGCTTAGGACGAGGAGGCAACGCCCATGGCGAAGATAACGAGCGAGGGCATCAAATCATATCGGATCGGGGACTGCATCCCGATAATTTTGGACGCGATGAATGTGCGAGGGGAAAAAAAGCTGTCGACGACGGCCGAGAGACGCATGGACTCCTGCACGCCTTTGTATCGGGCCTTTCTGGGCCTGCGCACGTTGGCCACAGGACAACGGAACGAGCGAAGGCTGGACGAAGATCGACGACGTAAGAGGGGAAACGGAACGTTCCGTTTTTTTTAGGTAGTAGAGATTTGATCATAGATTTTATATTAGCAAAAAATAAATTATATACAACAAGAATTGTACTTATTATTGGGTGCATGTTTAAATAAAGACGCCGATAACGTCCACACGTGTAGGCGTTAAGGGGTCTGCCCACACAGTTCGTGTGGTGTTTAAGAGGATCAGCCCACACGCCTACGTATGGGCAAACCAAGTAATGCCCACACGCCTCTTTTTTTCCTCGCGGTCCCTCTCACATGCATGCGTGTGGGCAAAATAGATAACGCCCACACGCCCGTACATCAGGCCTCGTACCTTATGGTCCCGCACGCCCCGCGTGACAGTCAGCAGTGTCCCCGCAGTTGCCATTGTCTGGATCCTCTTCCATGTTCATTTAACTGCACTTGCCATGGTTGCTCAACTGCAGTTGTCATGTATGGTCAGGTCTACTACAGTTGCCATGATTTTAAAACTTTAGGAGTTGCCACCTGCTAACACAGTTGAGAGAGTTGCCATGTGCTCACAAGCACGCTAGGGCAGTTGCCATGAAAAGGAATAGTTGTCATCTGCTTACGTGCACGCTAGGTCAGCTGCCATGTACCATGCAAAAACACATGGCAACTCGGGTAAAAAAGAGTTGTTATCTGCTTACGTGTACACTAGGCAGTTGTCGTGTACCCAACAAAACACATGGCAACTGACATGTTCGAGTAAAAAAAAGTTGCCATCTGCTTACAAGCATAGTAGGGCAGTTGTCATGTACACTGCAAAACACATGGCAAATAGCAGCTTGGGTGTGGGAGAGGATACGGGCGTGTGGGCAAGATGACAAATGCCCACACACCAACCCTTGTGCGTGAGTGAAAATCGGCGTGTGCGCGAACTGCTAAACGCTCACACACCGGGCCCCTCCTTGTGGTGAAACGGACGTGTGGGCGACCGGATGAATGCCCACACACCAGCCCAGTCCTACGTCGCACCACAAACATGCCAAGATTCATGCACCCACAAATGGACGCGGATCCACGCGTGTGGGCGAGATGCAAACGCCCACACGTGTGGGCATTAGTGTTTCCGTTAAATAATGTTTCAAATGATATAATTTTTATTGCATGAACTTATGATTTACTAGTAGTCAAATGTATGATCAAATTTGACATTAAGTACGAGGAAGAATAATAATTTTGGATGGCGCAAATAATGAATGAAGCTCATGAAGACCAACCCTACTTAGTTCCAGGTCGACAGTCACCAAGGCCTTGTACAAAGCCTAGAAATATGCCACTTTTGTTCAATAATGAATTTCTATTTTAGAAAAGACATTGGGCAACTTATGTCGGATAATTATCAAGAAAAAAAAGTAGTTGATACAATTAAAATGACACAAAACGACCTGCAAAATATACACTGCCCTTCGAAGCTTGAAAATGCACCAAACCAGGCTTTGAAGGCCGCAATAGCCATTTGCTGCCAGAAACAACGGCCAGGCCGTCGATGAACTCAAAGTTTTAGGGGGTTGTGGGTGCAGTGGCTCATACCTCTTTTTAGTGATCCGGTAAAGGAACAGAAAGTATCCCGTATCTATTTTTTTTCATAGATGACCCTGGATAATCGAACCCACAAGAGGAAGGCTTCCTTGAAGTGATGGTCTCTCGCAAGCTTCCATTAAAGGAACAATTTCAGCTTTTAACCAAAATAATCAAGCAAATGGCGATTCAAACACTTATGACAAAAATAGGTACGGGCATGAGGTCTTAATGCTTACAACCATGTATTTGCGTTGGGACCAAATATGATCTTAATTTGTGTGCTGGAAGTCACCCATCGAGATGTGTGATACCTCTCCAATGTATCTATAATTTTTGATTGTTCCATGCTATTATATTACCCCTTTTGGATGTTTATGGGCTTTATTTTACACATTTATATCATTTTTGGGACTAACCTACTAACCGGAGGCCCAGCCCATAATTGCTGTGTTTTTGCCTATTTCAGTATTTCGAACAAAAGGAATATCAAACGGAGTCCAAACGGAATGAAACCTTCGGGAGCGTGATTTTTGGAACGAACGTGATCCAGAGGACTTGGAGTGCAAGTCAAGAAGCAGCCGAGGCGGCCACGAGATAGGAGGGCGCGCCCACCCCCTCTGGGCGCGCCCCCTTTCTTGTGGGCCCCTCGGGCGGCCACCGACATACTTCTTCCTCCTATATAAGTCTACATACCCCGAAAACATCCAGGGAGCAATGAAACACAATTTCCACCACCGTAACCTTCTATATCCGCGAGATTCCATCTTGGAGCCTTCGTCGGCGCTCCGTCGGAGGGGGAATCGACCACGGAGGGCTTCTACATCAATACCATAGCCCCTTCGA